TGAGTCTAAAATCTACTTAAGCGAACTTTAGAGGGCAGCACTCTAAGCCAACTATGAGACGATTTCACACAGTAATCATAGCACGCGTAAAACGTAGGCGACTGATACCCTACGGTTCGCTGCGGCTTAACGACCACTGGTTATAGTGACACCTAGATCTTCATAATAACAAACCGCAGGCATTAGAATGTGAATATTTGTGTACCGTATGAATCGTTGCAGCGCAAACGAATAACTAAACACGTGTTCGCGTTGATCTTTACTAGCCGTTTGCTTAAATATCCTACAAAGGAGTTAGCGCCTTTCCTCAGAAGCGGAGAGGGATTATCGGCTGTTCGTTATTTTCAACTGCCAGCGTGAAACAAAACGACTTACTGCGAATGGGTAAATGAATAACAGAGTCGAAAGCAAATCAGGCGCAGGCGTCTTACCATTGAAAAGGTCACACGTCGCTGCCTCCTATGTGAGTTTTACAAGATTCAGGATGATGTTACACACTCTGCCAAACAGTACATCACCTCTCCCCTTTTTTCACAAACGTTTTCGATTCCGAATCATCTACCGTATACTTGAATCTTTGGCGATAATCCTGATAGAAAAAGATATTAAACTCCGAGTTCGAAATAAAAACTCGCGTTAGCACGAGCAGTTTTCGCTCACTCTACTCAAACCACACATACGGTGGCCTGCTCAAAGTCCGGGCCACCAAATTCATCCGACTTGCATTTTTCATCAAGTTCTCCCCTATCGGTTTGTTTTAATCATCCAAGTATGTCCCTTGAACGTATCATGTACTCTGGCACATTTCTAAACCGTTTTTAACCCTCTGTTGTCACATTATGTGGAAATGATTTTCTCGGGTAACGGAAGTACATTATATTTCTACTCGCCAAATGCTTAGCTTGAGCTCCAGATTTTCTTCCCGTCTGAACGACTTGGCACCACCAAAATTACGCTTTCATTTCCACTGATTCTTCATCGTGGACCGGACACTCAGCCAGAACCAGCTAGCTGTTTCACATCATTGTTTTGAATACTATTAGCATCAACATCACGCATGTGCAATAACCGTTTTGGCTGAAAGTATTGTTCTAGGGGTGAATTTGTTGAAAAATTACATGTTGAGAATTCCATGCTGTCATACATATTGTTTGGAATAAAGCAATTATTATGATCAGGACGCCGGCTTAGTAACAATAAGTTTCATTTCCAAAATAAAATCAAGCCATTCTAGTAGGTAAGAGCGTGCAGAAATGTAGCTAATTAACATGGAATACATATTTTTGCTCATAGTTCCAACTGGATAAAATATGCATAGATTTCAAGTGTAACAGACCTTCTTATCCCGAATATTTGAGGTGAAAGAAATTCCTTTAGGAGACGGCATACTAGCTAACACGGAGTTTTAATGAATTCATCGCGGATAAAATGAGTATCTTGCGGCCTAGTGTGAAAAATGGAAGTAATTATCATGGGGTAAAAGTTGGTATGGTACAGTAAAGGTTACAACCGAGTGAAACGACTACAGAAGTTACGGTAACCTTATGCCCGAGAAAACAAAAGACTCCTACTCAGAAGCAGTCTAACAGCTCGAATGCGTGGGAAAATTATCGTGTACGACACCACCCGATGAGCAAAATGTGGTGATGTAAGAGGGCGATTTCTTAGGACATCTTTGAGAGTAATCACAGAGACCACTGGGCTAAAGATATTTGTAAGTAAGAAAAAGCTCTTGCGAGTGACGTTAAAATACTAGAAGGGGAGGGGATGTGCTTTGGTGGGTATCACCGTTCTCCGTTGATCGGTAATAATTGAAGAGTAAAATACAGTTTGCGCGATGGCTGGGTTCCCAGCAGCACAGAATATGTGACTTGGGAAACCAACCCTGACTGTGTGAACGTGGGTAAAACAGCCAGGATTTTCATATAAGACTTCACATGAAGAGATGTGGAGCCGAAAATGCAGGTTTTAGCGCCGTATATTGAACACCCCAAAATGTTATTAATAATGGTGTTAATTGCCACAGTTATTTCTGAGAAAAAAGTAAAACATTTGTTGTGCTGAATGTAGTGATGGCTTTCTACTTGTTTAGGGGGTAAGTGAGGCATGGGCCAGCCCCTACTCCTCCAGCTCAGACAGTATCTAGAGGCCAGACAGTCTCGCGCCAAGGTAAACAGAAGGGGGTTGCGGTTGAGAACACCGATGTCAACGGTATCCTAGCGAGGAATCCTAAGCCAATTCTGACCCTTCCGTCCATCCACAATCTGCGACACAGAATCTCCCCGCCCATCCCCCTCATCGCTAATGACACTAAAATTTGAAGGGTGGTAAACGAAGAGGCCGACTGTACAGCACTCCAAAACGACCCTCTGTAGCTTGAAATTTCGTTTTTAGAAGGCGGCTAGAGCTTCAACCCATAAAAGTGCGAGGTAGTTCACATCCGTACCTATGAAGCAGCTATGACTGAATTCCGACACAAGCTGAGTAACTGCGCTATCACCGAAGTATCCACAGAAGGAGATTTGGGGCCAAACGTCTTAGAAACGCAGAGCACTAGGTCTAATTTCAAAGAAGCGGCAGCCTGAGAGCACGCTACTCCACGCGTTTTGCCTAGAGAGCTTAGTGCGCCCACTCCTGAACTTGTTCTTGTTGTTTTAATTTCCCACCTATGGCTGTTCGTGGAAGCTTTCACGACAAAAGCACCATCAGCAGTCAAGAGAGACTCCAAAATCCTTGAGAAAATGAAGATTGATCCGCAACAAAATTGGCTGTAGGAGTAAGGGGAAAGGCATACCTTGAAATATTGAAACACCCGAATCTGTTCACCTCAGGGTATCACAGAACGAAAGGTAACCTAATTTATGGCCCACAAGATCATCCACCAGGCAAGTCACGCAAACTAACCAGCATAGTCTACAATACGGTGGTTATTAGGTGGAGCCCCACCAGGACAGCATATCAGAGGGCTAACACCAAGCTCACTTCCGACTTCTTAAGAGTATGCGCCCCACAGACTGCGTTACCCCAGGATGTAGTCACATCCCCCCAGGTGGATTCACTCAGACGATGGTTACATACATATTTCATCTAGTGTGACTTTCCACAGACGAAATCAGGGCATTACTGAACCCACCGACTCACCACTACCTCCTTCCTACCAACCACTCACTCCTCTCTTTGGCACACCTACATTGTCTGCTAACTCGTCTCTGGCAACCAGGCCCATACCGTCTATTTTGCCTTTCGAGTGGGTCCCACACACCTCTTCCTCCTACCTTTCTAATCCCATTCAGACACCTAGGCAGGTGGGCCCCTAATCCTCCCAACAACCCGTGGCTCCTTAGGTGCCTCAATCAACAAATCAGTTGTCGACCTACAAAAGCGTTCGTCTCACCGGAGCTAAAAGTGGGAAAGCAGAAGGGGTTTCCTCGCCCACTGGGCGGGGGGGGGGCAAACCACAAAACAATAGTCAGGCGTCAAGAACATGACGCCATTAGTAATGTCGGATGTTGGGTGAGCCCACTGCACTACTACGCCTGGCCTGTTTGCCAGAAAGCCACTAAGATTGATGTGGGTGATCTTGGGACAACTTAAGTGAGTTTTTACCTTTTCTACACGCAGGGCTCGGCACCATTTTTCTCTGCAACCTCATGGCATGAAGACGTTCATCTTGCTGCCCCCCTCATCAGCTGCCAGTCTGAGTTTCTGCCTCCTTCCTACCTTTTAGTTTTCGGTTCGCTCAGTGGCGGGAAGGCTTTTTTACGCACAAACTCCACAGTTTTGAAGCCCATGAACGTCCTTTTGAATAATAACCCCCCCACCCTAGACCAGCAAACGGCTCCGAGTAGTCCAAAAAGTTCCTTCCACAGATGCTGCCTGCATTTGCTCCGTCTTGTGGATATTGATTAGTGTGACCTCCGATCGAATCTTTGGAACAGGTGTTTCTACCAAAATTTGGGTTTCGCCGGAGTCATTTTTAAAACGCCTCACAGTACTAGGCTCCTATTTCATTCAGATAAGCTGAAGACTACCGGATGAACAGTGATTTTTGTTTGGTGCTTTTTGGGTTGGGTACGAACAGTTTACTCCCGAACTGTGACTGTCCTCCTGACATGCTGTTCTCATCTAATCTCTTGACATTCCTCAAATTCCTCGGGTATGGAATTTTGACCAACATCCTGCTCAACAACCCTTCACTTTTTATATTCAGAATGACACTATTCCTCTGTAAATGCATCATCACCAAAAGGGTTATGTACCGAGTGGGATCTTTGATCTAAATACCTTCCTAGGTCGCCTTAGCCATGATCCACCTATGCACTTTATGTCGGAAACTGACCCTTCCTTGTGACCAGTAATTTTCATGCTAAAAATTCTGGCTGTATAGTTAAGATAGGCTGAGGAAGATCATCTAAACTTGCGACCTATTCACAGTTAATACTGCGATTCTTTTGAAATCTGAGACTAACTGCGGCAACTAAAACTGTGCACAGCTTTCAGCTTTCAGACTCTTCAGACACCATAAAGTGCACAGAAACCGAAGTCTAAAAGTCACTCATTTGAAGTAGAATAAGTCGCATAAAAATTTATGCAATTATCGTTTTCATCGAAGCGAACTCAAAAAGAAACGAATATATTTCACTAACAGCCTGCTAAGCAAGTGACCCACAAGCGTGCCAGTACCCTGCTTACAATGTATGATCTCTACCCACCGCCACCTGTCGCATACATTTGTGTGACAATTTAGGTAATCTATCTGACAAAGACCTAGGTTGAGCTTGAAATATAAACAACCAAAACACAAATGCGACTTCAAAAGCAGTGACTTAACTAGGATAAAAAAACTTATGGACAATAAAGACGTGAACCGAAAGAAAAAGCTTAGTTATAAGCTAGATTGGTTATTGAGTACTGCAATAATAGATTTGATTTCCTAAAGTAAGAAGAGCCGTCTTTAATTCCTTTCCTAAGGCGGTCAATTCGGTTGATGTCTATTTAGGATGCAACTTTTTGGACGTAAAAAGGACTTAAAGTCTCAACTGAATGATATGGTCTCCGTTCTTAGAAGAGAAAAGTATCCTCTTCAGCGAGATATTCAAACTCACTTGAGACAGCAAAAGCAAATTGAAGTAGCAATCAAGAAGTGTGCTAAAGCATCGGATATAGCTTCTGCTAAAGTTTATGCAAAGGAATATGTTGCGTCGAAAAAAGCTGTTGCTCGATTGTACACTGCAATATCTCAAATCGACTGTGTGTCTATGGAACTGCGCCATCTTTCATCAATAAATAGGTTGACCGCTGGAATACAGAAGAGTAATACCGTAATGAAAGCCATGTCCTCATTGGTTAAGGTAGGTCTTACTGCATTTCTCCCACTTACGAACCTTTCTGGTTCATTATAACTGAGTTGAATTTTACTTCCGCTACGTGTAAATACGAAGTCATTCATGTAATAACATTTTAGTTGTGGTTATTATTTTCGAAAGTACAATGGAATATGCTTGTCGTTTTCTGTTAGGTTTTATAGTAAGTATCACTGAGTTTGATTTTTTTTCAACTTATGGATTTGTATCCGCTTGTTAGAATCTAGATGTTAGTCCTAGTGCACCCTTATGGGTATAAACACCTGTGAACAGGTGGTTGCCAGAATGCATTATTTATTATGGTTGAATGTACCTGTCAGTTGTCTCATAGCCCTCCATTTAAATAATCATGATGAATATGTCTTCTCTTGATATGTAGCAGTAAGTGTTTGCTCACGCAGTGTCAGTTCACTCAATACCACAATTTCGCTAACAAAGTAATGAAACCTCTTTTAGCTTAATTGTAACCAACTTGATTGCTGCTGAATATATACTTCGCTAGTTTGAAGTATATTTCACTGCTAGTTGTTTCTTTGGGGTTGAATTTCAGTTTGTAAAGTAGGAGCTGGTATTTTGTTTGCTATTTGGTTACCTACTGGTGTTTACTGATTCTAGGAGTAAGCACATAAATCCGTGGTTTTGAGATGTATTCACTCTGCAGTGATTTACTGACATGCTAGCTAATTCAAAGGTACATACTAAACAGGTAAGCTGAAGTGGAAAAATATCTTGTATGTAACTGGGAAAAATACCGTGGCAGGGTTTAGGCTAATGAGACACTATCTTTGACATAGAACTCTATTGAGAGGTCTCAGTGAACATCTGTAAGCGCGGTTTCTGGGACTATGTATATTACTCCCTTGGCTTAAATCTATAGCAATGATCATGTATTCAGACACAAGAAAAAGAGGACCAGGCATTACTACTGCTTAGCCGTCGAAGATTTTACATCTTATATCGGCACATCAAGCGAAAAAGCACAAAGACGAAAGTGAAAAAAAGAGGCGAAAGCAGTCAAAGTGGTAGAAAGTCATCAAAAAGGAGCAAGGAAGAATAAAAAAATACGTAAAATCAGCGTGACGATTTAGTTGATATGTGGATACATCTGCGCCACAGGTTGGTTCTCACCTGTGTCACCTCGAGTTTTCAACCGCTTGTTTCTGTGGTCACGTGGATCCAGACCGAAAAATCTACATTCCCCAACACGACTCGAACCAACTGTCAAAAACGTCATACACTGATGCCATGTTTGAGTCTGTCCGTCCCTAACATTTTTCATTGTGCAACAAGGCATATGGTGACTAAGCACCAGTAACATATGTCTCAATCTCCTGACCTGATGAGGGTTCATAACCTAACCAATTGACTGTCCTCTCCTCCCTAAAACCACACAACTGCATTACTGACACCATGACACCGCTACACGACCTATGCTATGAAGGTGGTGGTGTCCAAACACTTGAAACCTCATATTTTCTACGTTTTATGGTCATGTTTCACAGCCATGTAGTATAACAGAGCCAACCGCAGGACAGTAAAGTTGGTCCTTAATAGTCAATTAGAAATCATGGAGGCACCATAAGTGGTGTAAGTCAGTGAAAGCCAAAGGAGACTTTTGTATCCGTACAGATATTTCATAGGTCACTGACCCACCAATGCAGGGCTGATCCGACTCTCCAGGTATTTGAATTAGTCAATGTGCTCAACCATTTCACTTCCTATTGTTAGACAAGGCGTCACTGAAGCCAGTCATAAAGAAATAGTTTTCATCTAGGTGACGAGAAATGCATCTCAACCTTTTTCAAACTGTCACTCAATGTGTTTAGAAGACTTTATCCTGTCAGCATTTTCACCCAACAGGACTGTGGAGTTGTAGCTCACTGGTTTAGGGAGTTGACTGAACCAGGGGGTCATGGGTCCAAGTACCGCTCCACCTATCGAGGTTTGAGTAGCCGGGTAGTATCATTAGTCATCAGTTATTAGGTCTGGCTGTCTGCCTACTGCACGATTGTGCACAAAGTAGCTGAGTGATGTGAATTGAACTTAACACGACTACGTCATATGCCTACTTTAGATGTAATAATGATTATCCTTTGACTCCATTCAGCCCGGTAAAGTCAGACAAAGAGAGGAAGAACTCCATAAGTACTCTTATGGTAAAGTTGAATAAGAAAAGGGGGAGCTATCAAGCTTCATTGATGGACACCATTGGATGTGCATAACTTCCCTGTTAACTCACCACAGGTCCTAACACGCCGAGTGTTCCAACATGGAGCCTCCAACAAAATGATGTATTTACTTGGCACCCGCTTCAGGGAGAGAGTGTAGAAATACCTCTTGGTCGATGGAGTCAAATGTCACCTCTAGGTTGAGAAATACAGCTAATGTCAGGCGTTCCAGAACCTGGCGGAGTGGGAATATTTGGTTGTTGTACCCATGACCAGTTCTGAAATGTACCTGGTTTGCTTGGGTTTACGGCTCCCGCGCTCCACTCAGACGTTTAATAATAATTGAACCTAGAGTCTTAGACACAATGTTCGTCAGGCTGACTCTCTTGTGGCTGTTGCATGAAGACTACTGCCCTTGCTTAAAGATGCTCAATCAGTGATTAAAGCCAGTGAAAGGCGGTCATATCTGACTTCCATACGAAATTAAAACCTAGTCGAAGTAAACTCAGTAACCACATGCATATTCGTACAGCAGGCAATGAGCCACACCTATTGTGTGAGAGCTGATGATACAACCTGACTGCCCAAACCTGGGTAGGTGGGACGGGGTTCGAACCTGCGACCTGCTGAGTAAAAGTCATCTTCCTGGTCCAATATGCCAAGGCTCCACAATAATCAGCACTTCAGATAATCTGACCAATAATTCTCTGTTACTGTCCTTAAATCCCTTTGGGACCAGCCCATTTAGTCATCCTCCTCCTCCTCGTTTCAGGTTACCTACAGGTTCCTCAACTGCTGTATGTGTTTTGTGTCCTATCTCGACGTTCCACTAATGATCCAACTGAATATTGGGCAAAGAAATAGTAGCTAGAGGCTAGTTAAACTAATTCTCGAAGTGTTCTGATCACCGTCTCAGTCGTCTCCCTTGCAATTGGGCCCTAGACCCATCTTTCTTAGTCGTTTCGCTAACTGTTGTCCTTTTCGTCCAGTTTCTTTGATGTCTAAATATCTATCTACTGGTCTTTATCTCCGTTGCCTTTCCACCTCTTCAGCATTCGCTACCCACCACTGTTAGCGGTCACTGCGTGGACCTGTTTTCAGTCTACATTTGAGATGCTTCCGCTGCTCGCTTTACTCGAAGTCTGCAAGGATGTGTTTGCGTGCATCAGTTAGTTCAGGACCTGTTGAGACCCTTTGGCTCTTTTCCGCCACTGTCTGACAGTCTACTGCAGTCCCCAACGATATTTTTGCAGCAGATTGAAGGTGGTGCCAGGTTTCTATTGAATAAGTAATGTTTTATGTTGCGATGGCTTTCTAGCCAGTTTCTCACTGAGAGTGAACTTAGTACTCTCATTGGCCGTGTTGCTGTGGTTTTTCTACGCACATTTAGCTGCAGACATGCTTAAACTAACGCGTAATCACTGTTCGAATGCGTTCTCTACGAGAGGCGAAAATGTTCCACCGAGCCACTATGGCGGTGTGAAATTCGTGCTGGCCAGAAATAAATAGTTGTCTTAGCCTAGCTGTAGCAAGCTATCTCCATTATTTGTTCGTTCGGCTGGCATTCTGAAGTGCCTTTCTGCCTGACGTAGCCTACCAACTTGTGCATTAAAATCGCGCGCAACAATTACCATATTTGAGCACTTGGCATTTAATAAGGGGTTAGACAGTTTTCGGTAGAAATAATTCACTTCATCCGTGCTGCAGTCAGGGGGGTACTTGGGCAGAGATTACAGAGGGACAACGGCAAGTGTTCCTATTCCTTTCGATCCTCATTGTGCCGTGCAGTTGAGCAGCGCATATGCGACTGTTAACTGGTATCCAGTCGAATAGTGCACTTGATTCTATACCTACCTTTGCAAAACCGTGAGAACTAGCCAATTATTCTCCAGAAACTTGAAGAGTGAATTGCTACTGACTCATCGTTTTGACCGACTGCGAGTAATGTAATTAACCGCACTTTGGCCCTGTAGGCGTGTCTCAGAAACAGCACATCCAGGGCACAATAAACCAGTGTTGGCTAGCGAATCCTTCTAGATGACTTGCAGATGTTGCAGACATTGAAGGCTCAAATATGTAGTTTGAAGTATGGTTTCAGGCGACTATGGATGTTGGCCTGTGAACTCAGATAGTTTATGTGAGCTGTAGAGCTTTAAAAAACTGAGGATGATGTACGAATATTGACCGAGAAACGTGAAGAAAAATTAAAAGCGATGAAGGCGAAAGGGAACTTGAGTGCTGACAGAGTTGTGAGGGCAGCTGACATTCCGTGACTCCCCCAGACTAAGTGTATTTCTGCTTGAAATACCTACAAAAGAAGAGTTAGTGATTGACTGTAGAGCTCAAGGCACATCTGCTTAAGGCCGATCATACATGACCTTTTTAGAAGTTTGATAGATAAGATTTTTTGTGCAGGTGCGACCATAAAGCTATATCACCGGCACTGGTATGCTCCGAGGCAGATGGTAGTGTGCTATTTTTGGACCAACCTTTTTAATCCCCCTTCCCATAAGGAGAGCACCATCAGCGTAGCACTTCTGGTCATCCTGTCATACCCATCCAGCCAGCAACCCGACTTTGCTTATGAACCCCCATCATAGGGGAGGAGCTTACACGATAACGATAACTGCTTTTCGTCTTACAACTATTCGATAGGAGTTTCTGGTACTGTAGGATCTCAAGGGGACAAGCCTTTCATTAGTATAGCCCGATGGGTCATTGTTTTGCAAACCCGACCACCACATCAAGGTCGCAACTGCTGGTCAGTAAAAAGAATCTGATGGAACTATAATTTTGGAAACGAAAAGTGACTTTCAACTCGAGGTATGGGTGTGAGGTATCGTAACTTTTACCACCACGTCCTATGTTGTTGATGTCTGTCCGTTATTTTAAAGTTATTCATCTATCTATAGGTTTGGCATAACATGACTACAGAACCTAATAGAGGTTTACTCGAATGAAATTTTAAGTGAGTAGTAAAAATACTGCAAATGAATCTGATAAATGTGTCAATGTACTAGACTATAAACTGCACTTATTGTGCGATGGCTTCTGGCATTACTTTGTTTCTTAGACGGAAACAGGTGAAGTGGGATTTAAATCCAGGACCCACTCCTCGAAAGTCGAGTGCTTAAGCTAGCGAGCCACATTTCGAACGAATTTACATGCATTTTGTGTTAGTAGTGTGTCATAGAGTTGAAACTGGTTTCCAAACAGCTCTACAGTTTCCAATCAAAAACCACTAAACGAGGTTTAGTGAACATGCTGTAATCTCGGTACTTTGGAACTCCTTATTCGAATGAGAAGTAGTAAAAATAGGATGAAACCACCTTAAAACCGTCTTATTGTCTCATCCACGCCAAAACTGCTTTCAAAACCTCAATATAGTGTATATCAATAGTACTTATCACAACTGCCTTTCAGTTTTCAACCATTCTACTGACGTTTATGACAACGTGGGACTGTTGTGACAATGTCTATTAAGTTGGCTGGACAAGATCACATCTAGGAATACAGACCAAATAAAATTAATGGTTATACCTCGGACATGTTAAATGGATTGATCTCTTTACTTCTCACAACCAATTCCATCCCCAGTGAAGATACTGTAATGGCACGTTTCAGATATGTCTAAACCACTCCATTGAATTATTGAATCATAATGACATCTTTCAAGATCATATCAACGTGCATATCTTGGAATTAATAACATTTCTTTGCCACTAAATAGAATAAATCTTACGGAGTCTGCTGATTATGGAAGCAAAGATTTGTGGAATATCCTTATCCAAAACAGCCCAGTTTTCTGATATGAAGAGTAGGACTGACTGTACTGAAGCATTATATCCACAACATTTTACAGTCATATTCTTTTGGTATTAGCTCCAAAGGTATGAGAGAATGGCGTATGCCACCGTCAAAAGCCTCAAATTAGTTACTAAACCTGCGGATCTTTGCCTCATTGATCAAGGTCCGAATAAAGTGTGATATCAATCCTTAAATTATTTGACTTTTTATCTGAACCGTGTAGGTCGCAGTCGCTAAATTGATCGAGACCAGTGACTTCTGGTGATGTTGCTATAAACAGTTACAATTTTGCACTTGTATAGACGCTTTATCGTCTTCAAACTCCTGAACATCATTATTAACCCGCACTTATATATTCTGTCTTCTCTCATACACTTTTGTCGAATTTAATATCATCCTTTCCCATCAAATTCCTCCTTGCTAACTGTTGTGGATTGTGGAATATTAAACTGATAAGTATGTGCCACATTACACGTTAATTAACTAACTTGTTTCTGTTTCTGCCACCAGTGAAAATATACAGTTGAATGTACCCAACAAGTGCACTCTATACCTATCATACGTGCCCATTAGAGATGGAGAAAATGAGAAGGTTTCACATATTCGATCACGCTTTTTGCTGTCTTACCGGTTCTAAAGAACCACCACATGGAAGTTAGTTGTGAGGTCGTATGTATATCACTTGGTAAGCTTGCTAGTCTTTGTGGGTTCAAGTGGCTGGAACATGTGTTACACATACCTGATCACCGTTCATGTTGGTTCACAATGTTTACTGGAGTAGGACTAGGTTGGATGGAAAATAAGTGACCAGACCAAAACATACCAGTTAATAGGCATCTCGTTGTCAATCTGAACCTTTTAGGGGACTGTAGACTTCACGAGACAACAGAGAGTGTAGTCTGGAGAATCTAGGTGATACGGCTCAGGATCAATTGCAGTGATGTGGATGTATCTGCAGGTTATCTTCAAGTTAACTGTTGTATCAACTTTCGTTACTTGCATTACCCCCTCTACTTGTGACTAAGCGACTATTGACCACAATTTTTGTATTTCTCTCTCTGTTGTCTTGCTGCCATGTATCACGATGTGCAAATGTGGGTTATGGTAACCTGAACTATTACTCAGTAATTCCAGGGCCTGTGTTGCTGTTTCCTGCTTCTAGTTTTCTAACGTGTTCCTGTAGTTTGTTAACAGATGCTAAATTCGTGTGTTCTCTTTTCTGCTCCTGTGATCCATTTGCAAATAAATAAGTCATCAGCCGTATGTATCGAAATTTCAATTTAATCGTCATATCTTCATACCTTCAGATATGGTATTCATCCAGGAATATCTGAATAACAGTTACACCTTCATGGATTCCGATGTCAAAGAATTGAGTTTGACATTCAACAAACACATGCTCGCTCCTGCAGTAGGCAATGGACTACACCTATTGTTTGAGAACTAATGATACCACCTGGCCCTTCAGGTTATTATTATGACTGCAATTTCACTCAGCAACCATGTACGAGGATGTGCACTAGACAGTGAGCGACACCCAGTGTATGACAATCCATGTATCCTACCACCTGGCTGCCCAAACCCTGGTAATTGGAGTGGGTTTTGAACCTATGGTGTAACTAAAGAAATAACCACAGTTCCGCAATCCACTTTTTAGGGAGATCAAGCTGAAGTACAATCTGTTATTTGTGCATATCGTGATAGAGTCCAAAAATAGAATTTTAGGCATATTTATTATTCACAAGCTGTTGTTTCTCTCTTTTCATAGTTACCTGAACTCCAATCTACAATGCAAAATTTGAGTAAAGAAATGATGAAGGCTGGTATCCTAGAAGAAATGCTGGATGACACTATGGAATCGTCACTGGGTCATCCTGAAGAGATGGATGACTTAGCTGCTGCTGAAGTTGATAGAATCATATGGGATATAACAGCTGGACAGTTAGGTGAAGCACCTGAACCTGCCAATGATTCTTTGTCAGTTTCTGTACCTCAGAATGTCGTGCCGTCAACCACTCTGTTAGATAATGATGATACTGAGTTGGATATGGATGCACGATTGGCTACTCTTCGAAGTTAACAGTTTTGGGCGTCTCTCATCACCATATGGGCTTTCTAGTAATGCACTGACTTTAGTTTATTGCATACTGTACAGAATAAAAGTTACAAAACCGTAATGTTTAACTAATATTGCAAGCGATTATTATAACGTTATTCTGTTTATTCATCGGGATCTAAAACCGATATTAATATTTTTAAAAGTAAACTAATCTTTCTTATAATTAACTAAAATTGAAGAAACAGAAGGGTTTTATTCACGTGTGTATCTTAGATTTTACAGACCTTATCATTGTTGTGTGTCTACTGTCCTTGAAATGCTATAAAACTATGAATGTGCTTGTGAGGTCAGTTTCATTTTTTAATAACGATAATGATAATAATCATATGTGCACATAACTTGGTAAGCAATCACTTATATTTGATTTTAAATAATTAAGAAATATAGTGAATGCTCCCTTTTTTATTTTTATTTGTCTTTGTGATGCGTTTTCAGTCTGTTAAGTTTTCTAGTCAAGACAGATTTCTTATGAATGGTGAAATTTACTTCTGTAATATCGTACATTTGATTTCTCTCACTGGCTTATATAAAGCAAAAATGAAAAGCTACAAACATGCCATTGAAGTGAAAGTTCTAACTTAAATAAACATTGCTATACTTGAAATTGTATTAAGCTTTGATCATGAAGGAGCGAAATTGTTATGGGATGACTGTTTTAAGAGAGTTATCAAAATAGTACTATTTATGGGCATCCTTGTAAACAGCTGAACTGTTAGTTCTAGAATATCATAAGTTACAGGAACATCGGTGTAATAAGATATGAAGACGATCATTGAGTTCGACTGAATCACTTTTAGTCACAGTCAAAATAAAAATGATATTGGTCAGTGAAGTTATCTGAATGTCAGTCAAAGGCTAAGCAATTATTCCGTCTTTCTTACAGGTTATAAAATTCTAGTTATAATGGTCTATGTAACTAGCAGAGATGGATAAAACCAACGTAGAACCTCGCATAGAAGTGCATAGGTTCAAGTTGCCAAATTTCATAGCAGCATGTAAAGACCAAGTAGATATCAAAGAACTCATATCAAAAGTGTATGGGAGGAGAAGAAATTTATAAATGAAGGTTAGTGAAAACTTTCAAGCTTTAGAAGCCATCAAAAAAGGAATACATCTACCTCATTGTGACTGATTCTTATCTATGTCACCGAGGTTTTCCAATCATTAATTCCAATAATCTCAATGATCCAAATTAAGCAGTCTTCACTTCTTTACACGCGTAAGACCAAGAGTCAGAGACTTCATAGACTGGTACCATGTCTTTTTCTGGCCACCGTACGCCTTCTTCCAACCTAGTCCAATTTCTTCTAGCATCATCAAGACAGGTCGTGACTCGACATATGCAACAAATGTCTACGCCACCTCAGTCGCCTAAGGTTAAAGACCTCATCGACCGATTTGCTTTCCTTGCTTCGTACCCTTAGCCTAACCTCGACATTGCTAACATGATTCCATCATACGTGATCAATGCTACGAAGACATCTACCGTCAAAGACCTGTAACAGCTTCATATAATCTACTTTTAACGACCATTTCTTCCAACTGTATAACAGGACAAAATGGACTGCAGCGCAGTATACTCTTCCTTTGACATATAGACGTGTCTCACCAGGTGGTGCAGTTTGGCAAGCGTCAAACAAGCCCTTTGTATTGGTGCTGAGATTTCGTCAGCAACCAGCTTGTTGGAGCTGATGCAACTCCTCAAGTGAAGTGTCACCGTCTTCACCTAGCAGTGCAGTGTTATCTGCGTACTCCAAGTCAGTTAAATGCTCTCCAGGGAGTAGATCAGTTTCTTTAAAGTCACAAGGTTCATCAGTATGTCTATGACGAAATTAAACAGGAATGTTGGCAGTAGACGTCTCTGAGGGACATCACTAGTTGTCAATTCAGATAACAACTCTCCATACACTAACATGTCTGCGTGAGTTTGAGCAAGGCTTTGATTAGTGATTCACACGTGCTCGGTGCTCCTGTCACAGTCAGACACTCCCACAACACTCGGTCGACAGACGCCTTCAGGCCAAGAAATATGACAAATTTGGCCGCCGTTAAGTATAACTATGTTCCAGAACCTGCCAAAGAGTGAAAACATGATCTATGCACCCTCTTCCAGGTCTGAAACTGGACTGGTTTCCTTGTATTTGTCAGGCATCGGATAACTATGGACCCTGGGATCTTGGCCACGATATTATTTAAGCTGATCCCTTATATAACCTCGCCTGGTTAACTAGTTCACTAATTACTAGCCGGTCGTAAGCCAGGGTAAAGAGGGAAGGTCGGGCGTAGGGCTAGCAACCTTACCCCGTAAAACCAATCCAACCGCTAAAGAAACTTCAAAGCACAAACAAAATATAAAAAATAAAAACAAAATTATTCCTCGCTGGAATTGGAGAGGCGAAATGACGCCAGTTGGTGAAAGCCTTCAGAAAGTCAGTCGACCGATGTGTCTTCACTTCTCTCGATGAAAGCGAAAGTAAACATGGGGACATGGAATGTCTGCACCACGTTTGAACCTATATATGGTTGTCACAAGAAGACTTCTCTTTCTTCTTATAGACTGGAGTGATCAGTGGGACAGATCAGTCTAACAGGACTACATTTGATTCCCGTGCGTTAATATGTGAAGCCAAATACACAGAACCTCAAGTTTAAAGATTTTTATTTCGGCTTTACTTGTGTCTAGGATATCTCAAACTGACATAAACTTATTCATCCTTCGTTCAGTTTCCGAACACTGCTTGGTCTGTATTCACTATATTGACATGGTGCTTGTGCATGGCTGCATATCGATATGAAACTGTTGTCATTCTATCTGGTATGCTTCTTTTTTATATCCTACCATAGCGAGGTCATCTGGGGAGCAGTAGAGCATAAAGTGATGCAATCTGAGATGTAATGAAGTCTATCAAGACTACTCTCAATCGCCTACTTTGCAAATACAGTTGTTCATTATAGAATTTAGTAATATAATCTTAACGTGTTTAGAAAATCGGAACAGTTTTTCGGAGTGTTTCACTTGGTAAGCCACAGTCTTGTATCTTAATTTGCAAGGTTGAGGTAATCTCAACTGGGACGAAGTAATTCCAGGTCCTATTTTGATATTGACTGACTGACATGGCGCATAGTTAATTCAGCCCAAAACACCTCAGTCGATATTATTTACTAGAGTAGATCATAAATCCTAATGGGTTTACACCTGCATTAACTGTGCATTGTAGAAGCCTTGGTATTTCAGTAATGGTAATCAGAGGTTTTTAGAAACGTGATCAAGATAATGTTAGTAATAAATGCTTCATTGAGATTGCGAAAATGTAGCAAAATCGATCAGTAAAGGGAAATAAATCACAAAATGGAGTTAAAAATGTCAGTTTGAAAATTCTCTTTAAGTTACGGAAGAAGTATTTTAACAAAGAGAATAAAATTAGGAAATGTGGACCATTGGACTCCGACGCAGTGGCTCGATCGTAACGTACTGGCCATGGGACCTGAAGGTCCTGGGTTCGATCCCCGGTGGGGTCATGGGTGCGCACTTCTGGGAGTCCCCTGCTTAAACGAAACATCTGTTCAGCGTCCCCAGGTTTCCAATGTTCCTCAAACTGGTATCAGTCCATGAATCCCAACATATAAAGAGAATCGAAGCCATCCGTTCTTGGATAAGTTGGACACCGAATCCTCTATTATTAAGACTAGCTTAGAAACACAGTTGGATAAGAGTGAAGCATCCTACCTTGATTGTGTAGTCAGATGAAATATCGCTCCTTGAATGTTTTCAGGAAGGTGACATAACCTAACAGACGTTTTATTTTGTTACATTCCATCAGTCCGAAAGTCTTTGTTTTCTTTAGTCTTTCAAGGGTATGAACACTGATAACGGACAAAAATGAAGAAGCGACCAAATCAAGGAATGTAACGGAAGACCTCAAAGTCAATGTCTATTCAGTAAACTTCATCCACAGACTGGAAGATGGGATCGAAAAGGACTCAGAAATCATGAACTACAACAATACTCCTTTCATTCAGATGACATGCTTAGAATGAGATTAGAAGGGTGTCTAAAAAATGCAATATATTGTTTAAGAGAACATCAAACATACTGAAAATCATTTTATTCTATGTTGAGGATAAAATTCTCCAATATCGAAGTTCGTGCTGATAGTGTCTAGAAAGAAAATGATAGCTTCAGGATTAAACCGTCTAGTTCAGCGAACGCAACACAACCAGGATTCCTAATCCATCTTCTCAATATACGCAAAAAAAAAGTCTTGTGAAATCAAATTTTGAAAGAATAACCACCTAAGGCCTTGCGTCTGAACTCCTTGAAATTCATTAGAATTCAAAAGGCTTGGGAATCTCTCACTAGTAGCTATGCACGTCGTAATATCAGGTTGCAAGATCAACTTTGCCATTTTTTGAAGAGATTTTTAAAAATTTTAGGAACGATTCATAGCTGCGTCTCTTCACATAAAATGGAGTCCAAATTATCTAAACAAAAATGATGAAATAAAAGTTAGCTGGATATGGTTTCAACCTGCCAGCACAAATTGAGATAATCAGCACACGTGAGATAAGAAATATTATCACATACAGGCTTCAGTCCGTAGTTCCCTTATTTACCATATCTAACATGCTATATATATTGGCTACCATTTGACAACACAGATCTTTTTCCGAGTTATCAGATACAATTTTCGATATTGTGAATTCTGGTCCATCATTAATTTGGTAAAGCCATTACCACCGTTTCAATACGTCGGTAAGAACAACCTTGTTCTTCATTCATTGGGAAATACAACTTCGGAAATCACTAATTAACAAATTCCTTCCCACGAGTCCATTATGAAAACAGTTTGGGAAAAAATAAACCCTGTCTGTTTCCATCATAAAATGGACTAAATATTTTTGTTACTGAAGTGTAAATAGTAAAAAGCATATCTTTGTGAATCTGATATATACTAGCCTTA